TTTAGGGCCTTTTTGAAATTCAGACTCCTAGTTCTTTGTTCTGCTGAAGTAATGGCTTTTTGAAAAGTGATAGGATGATGCCTTGCAACCAATTCAACTAATTGTAAAGGAAAATAATTTCTATTTTAATGTATAAAATTCTGCTCTTTAACGTTACATTAATGCGTGTCTGAAATGAGAGTTGGGAAAACAGATTTTTTTTTAGTCTTTCAATTGATGGCTTAGAGCTCAAGCCACAATAGATATCAAAGCTCTCCAGTAAAAACAGATTGGGTGTGGGGGGGAGGCCTTTTAATATGGAAGTATTGGATTCTCTATACAAAACTAGTAGGAGTTTCACTTTAAACAGCTACAGATTTCATTTTAAACTTTCTTTTCTAACAATTTATGGTTAATACCTGTAAACAACTCGGTGCTCTCTATGTAAAAGTATAGAAAAAATGAGTGGTATGTTAGAAAGGATCCTTGAATTGGATTGTATCTGCTGCTTATAAATATTCTCAAATCTTCCTTTGGAAGAAAATGTAATTTATCTTCTTTTGTAACTCCCATGAGATCAGTAATGAACAAACAGAGTTGAGCAGTGAGTCGATGGAAAATTGTGAGCCAAGAGTGCTGGCTGATAAATCACTCAAGAAGTGACTTTAAATAGTTGTTTTGGTGACTTCTCGAGTTCTTAGTGTTGCACTGAACAACTGTGAATGTTCCTAACATTATAAAATTAGAATAATTGCATTCTGGGAACAACTGTTTTTATAGGTTGGGGAGCATGGTCCGGGAGTGTTGCAGATAAGGGCCATTTCTGAGGGTGCAGTGTATAGAAATCCTAACTTTAGTAAAATGAAATTTGATATATCAAGAGACAAAGTGCAGCCATCTCTGTTATAATTTGAATACAGGCTGTTCACATAGATTCTGTTGGATATATTTCATATTTCAGACTTAACAGCGTTTTTCTGTAATCTCAGTTCCCCAAAACTAGTTATTTTTCTCCTCTGTCATTGTGATACATTTGACTACTACTTGATTCTTTTAGTGTCCTTGGTCAATTCAAAACATACAAACAAAAACATATGGGGTGAGGAAAATGCAGTGCTGTGTATATGGTTGGGATAGACAAAAACAGCAAACCTTGGCAGTTACATGGTTTATCTAAACATGCTTGAAATAAGGACTCTATTTGCTCCTTCCTTGTATATATCTTGCTTTCAATAATCATCAGTGTCATTTTCTTATTGAGTTTAGACACCCCTAGCAATTTTTTTGAATTGTTATTCAGTAGTGTAGGTGTGGGAAAGCAGGAATGGTAAATGGTGATCAGGATGGCCACTGATCTTTAGCTTCCCATGGCGGGAGTCTAGGAACCAAGACAAACTAGTGCATTTTGTCTACTCACGCTTGATGAAGAAAGTGCCCTTTTTTATAAATGAAGTTGTTGGCTTAGGGTTTATGACCCAGATACCTTGTTCTGGGTGGACCCAAAACCCTCAGACCAATCACGACTTCTCCATTCGATAATAGGCAAATGTTACTGATACACAGTGATAGCAGATAAGAATAATGTATACAATTCTATATCTACCAGTCCTAGAGCTGTCATCAGAGTCAAGGTACATCTGGCCAATACTCAAGCCTCATCCTGAGGTTCTTTCTTGAATGTCAGATGTCTCAGCAGCCTGAAGGTCAGAGGCCAAAGCTGCGGTCCACCTCTTCCCCCTGACCCTCCAGTGGGGTGGGTGAGATGGGCTGGTGATGTGCCCTCTGTCCATTGTGGCCTCGGGTTCCCCTCTTGGGGACCATTTGCTGCTCTGAAATCCCTCCTTATGTATTCTTTCTTCCCTCTGACTCTTCATTTCTGGACATCATTGATTAGTCTCCCTGTGGTCATCATACTGTCCTGTCAGCATGTTCTTTTGTTTCATGAACCCATCACATTAACGCATCCTAATCTGGGCTTTTACCAGGCTTCCTAACTTGGTTTATTCTCCAAAACTGGAAATCCCAAGGGCTCCTGCAACTGGGTACTGTGACCTAGCCAATGCAGCAGTCCCTTATCTCATGTTTTGGAAGAATGTGATACATGTCTTCAATTTTCCAGCCTGTTTGCCTATCAGACAGTCAGCTTTGAAGGAAACTTTATCACAAACGGTCTGTTTTAAGCCAGTTAACCCTTACCATTGCCCTGGGCCATTATTATATATAGGCATATCTACTATACCTATTAGGCCAATATAAGCAAACAGTTAAATATTTTTTAGCTATCAGAAGTAATACAAGATTTACAAATAATACAGGTTTATTTGGCAACCTCCAGGGGCAATAGCCCCAAAATTACATAAGAGGACAAAGATAACAGGTTCTATGCAGAATGATTCTATACTCATCTGATACCATCCATTTTAGTTGTCAGCTGTGAAAGCAAAATTCCGAAAAAAAAAAAATGGAAAAAGAGACTGGATTTATGGACATGTAAGGTACTATTCTATGACCTGCAGTTCAGAGTTGCTATTTATTGGGCCCTGTTGTTATGACCCTGGATCTTTGAGAGGTTCTCTTGTTTCATAGATATGCTGCCACCTGACTCATGAGGAATTTGTTCACTAGTGTTACAAGAGACCCATGCCCAAGATCAGCTTGCAGGTTATCTATCCTAGATGCGGTTTCGTGTCCTGCTCCATGGTGATAGATGTGGTCATATGGTGGTCATCCTTGCTGCAAAGATCAGGGTTGCTTCACAAAGTGAGGACCGACTGTTTGAGGGAACAAAGTTGTTCAGTTCCAGAATAGATTAAGTGTGGTCTATCCTTTATACAAAAAAGAGGTTTCTGAACTTTGTTGTATATACAGAATATACAAATGGGCATCGCCTTTCAAAGAGCTCAGAGAAATAAGTGTGTTACATATCCTTTTTACAGAAGTTTCAAAGAATGGTGCTGGAAGACATGAGAGAGAACTTTTGTTTTATCCCTGGATTTTGATGCCAGTCTCTGCAATGGGGGGAAATCAGTTAATAGAAGTAGAGGGACCCCCTAATGATGGAACACTTTTGTCCATATCTTTCTTGTTTAAAGTGTTCTAAGTAGTCATTCTATCCACCTTCTAATATATTTTTGATAATTGGTGTTTTGATTTCTATTTATGAGTTGTGGATGGTGGTGTTGACTCTTGTACAGTTGCATGAGCTGTGGGATAAACAAAGGAAGAAATGTCATGCATTCAAAAAACAAATCATTAAACAAGGCTAATGACCTTTTTTGGGGAGTTAGGAAGATTCAACTCTATCAGGCTGATTTAAATGGTAAGGGGAATGTGTTTGTAGCTGATACTTTGGTATGTGTAGCTTGTGATAAGTCTATCAGTGAAGTTATTAGAAACTGAACTTCTGTTAGTGGGGTTTCTTACAAATGTTCTTTTGTATTAACAAAATAAATGATGATTCAGTTGTAATTCTAGGCTTGATTGAATAATAGGCTTAGCAGACAGATTGGTGAAAAATGTTCACCTATTACATCAGGCTGGGAAACTGGCATTGTCCATTAACTTTAACCATGTGCAGCTGAGTAATACACTTAACAGATGCTAATTTTCTTAAGTTGTAAGCAGCAAATGATGCATGAATAAATCAGCAACATATTTCTTTGTGCCTGCTGGTAGGCATCCCAAATTAGATTTAAGTAAAGTTTGTTGATGTAACCAGAATAAAATAAAACAAAATGTTGAAAAGTTTCATAATGATGTCTTTAAATCCACCCATTATCATTTTTATTCTACTTTTAATGCTAATAGGAATTATGTGCATTAATTTCCTGTGCATTGATGTAAGAATAGACCTAAAAATTTATAGCCTTCACATAATTTCCTACAGCTGGGTCTGGAACAATTATAAATTTGAACCAATAAAATATGATGCCTAGAGGGCTAACCTGGTGGTAGGATTGTAAAATAAAAGATTCAGCCTGTCGTCTCCTATGCCCCACAAAAATTTATTTCCTGCAAGGCAAGTCATGAAACGGTGTTTTATTTTTCACCTGATTCTTTCGGAGCAGAAGATCTAAGCTTCTGAATAGTGTCAAATACGACAGTTGTCCATTGCTAAATGTCTAACTATATCAAATGAACACACTCTTTAAAAACCATAATTACTTCCTGCTGGAGAGAGAGGAACAAAGAATGGCCAGCTTGAAAGGTATATTACTTCATAATGATTAACGTAAAGAAACATTATAGTGTTAATCTGAAATTGAGTAGAAGGAAGGTAGTGTAGAAATGCACCTTATAAACAAACTGAATTAGAGATGCATAAGCTTTCATGAGCAAGAGTTTATATAAGCCCACCTGAGTGAGGTAATTCAGTTTATTGCTGGGTGTGCATCTTGTCCTCACCCACAGGTATGCAAAAGCAGCTCCAACTTCATACAGGTTCACAGAAGTTTAGGGCTGGAAGAGACTTCGTGAAATCATTGGGTCCAGCCCCCCTGCTCTGGGCAAGAAAGTAGTTTCTCATCTCCTCCTTTCCCTCTTGTTCAAGCTAGTCAGGGAAAGTGAGGCATGCAGTATTATTACAACATGAATGCTTGGTCAGTTGAAGTCTTAATTCATGATCTTGGATGCTTTCAAAGCATCCAGGAAGGTTTCAAGGTTAGCAGTTCACATCTTCTTAGACCTTTCTGTTTGCAGTCTTTTCCCTGTGGCAGCAGCTGATGGTCCTAGACATCAGTTGCCAGGATAGTATCTTCCTAACTGCATATTTTAAGTCCGCTTCAGAGACGGGTCATAAGGCACTCCGAAAGAATGAATGGCAAAAATGTATCCATTTTAATGCAATTCTTCCTGATTGGAACTATAATGAAAGAATCTACCATTTTTTTTAGTATGGTGCATACCTTTCTGAGAAATTGAAATCCTAGGTAAGAACTTTACCGTGTTTAGTAAAATGTGTCCATTAAGATACCTTTTTTTATTACATCAGTATTTAATATGGTGTGTCTTTGCATTGGCAGGAAGGTACCTGCTTACTGGGATATCTGGACAGCAGTTATGGCAACCTGCAGAAACCTCCAATCTTGTTCGGATGCGCAGCCAAGCACTTGGACAGTCTGCTCCTTCACTAACTGCCAGTTTGGTGAGTTGCACTTTTAAACTTTATGTATCATTGTATGCAAAAGACCTAATGAAACGCAACGATTTCAGATTTTATGCGGGTAAAATTCAGACAAGCCACTTTGTTTCAAAACCCCTCTAATAATGCTGGCCTTTCACATAAATGTTGTGTATTACTGTACATAATGCTACAAAATGTTACTAAACACGTAGTGTAGCTAAAATATATTTGTTATGCGAGCTGTAACTTTGAATTGCCATACTTGTTTTCACATAAAATCTCTGCTGAACTGTTGCATTAATGTAGCTATTTGCATTTAAATGGTCTGCTTTCCAAAGGAGGAGAGGTCATCCTTAGAATGACTAGTTTTTTGCCGGGTGTCCTATGTTCTGTCTTCTGTTTTGTAGGGCCTTGTTGTACCTTACGCTGTAAGCCAAACAAATGTTAATTGGCTTAAAGTTGTTCAGCTTAGTGGAGCAGTTGCACCTTAAGGTGAAATACCATATCTGGCTGTCATTTACCTGCACAACTGTGACTTGCCACTAGGGGCTTGGTTAGCAGGGGAAGGACTAGGAGCTAGGGGAGGACCAACTTGCTGCTTAAGCGCCGAAGGGTTCAGTCTTTTATTTTCTCGAGTCTGCCCTCCTTTGTCACCCCTTTCCCCCCACCCCGTGCTGCCAGCCAGCCAGGTGATGCCTGAGCTCTGAAGATGATTGGGCCCCTCAGAGCTCAGTTGGCACCCAGCCAGTGGTGCCACGGGGTGGGGGGAGGGGTGAATTCCAGAGGAAAAAAAGGTTTGGGGCCCTAGGATCTGGAGATACACCCCAGTGGGCTGGACAACTGGAGCAGAGCAGAGCTACATGGCTGTAGTGTGGCAGGCTG